GAGAATTGAACAGAAGTTGACGCATGTGATAAATTGCAACACTTTATATAATTAAGTAGTTAATAATAAAACTTAAAAATTCAGGGGTTAACTGGTGATTTGTCCCTTAAACTTGTGCCTAACTTTCGATTTACCCCATATCCTTTTTTTAGACAATTAAGGATGTGAACTCTTTTTCTTTTTTTTTGCCAATTTCCCCCCTCCGTCTAAATTCACAACATTTCATCCAATTTGCAGTTAAATATGAGGGCAAAATGGTCATTTTTTATATTAAAAATAAATAAAAAATAAAAAATAAAATAAAAAACAGAAAATTGAAATACTCTCTCTCTCTCTCTCTCTCTCTCTCTCTCTCTCTCTGTGCAGGCTCGCGTGGGAATGGGGGTGGTTGTATGGTGGCATTGGGCGATGGTCTAGGGGAGGATCTCACATGGGGATGGGTCTCGACTAGGGGGGGCAAGGGCTAGGGATGGGTTTTGGCTTGGGCTGGGGGTGGATCTCCCGTGTGGTGGGGGGCGATAGGGTTGCTGGTTCAGTGTCTTTTCCTTCTTCTTTATTTTTGGTCAATTTTCCTCTTTTTCTTTAATTTTTTTCCAAAAAAAAAAACTTTAAAAAAAAAATTTAACTGAAAATTAGATGAAATGTTGAGGATTTAGACAGTAAGAGGGAAATTTGAGGGAAAAAAAAGTTCATATCCTTAATTTTCTTATAAATAAAAAAATGAATAGGGAGTTAATTGTTCGGTTCATTTTTACACATGATTTTTCATGTTATTCACCCACTATTTTGAGTTAGTTCTTGACATTTTATAGCTTTTTACTTCCTTTTTGTGTTTTCTTAGATTTTACCTTGGTTGGAATGAAAATGAGCTAAAAGTGCATTATTAGTTACAAATTTTGTTTTTGTTCATTTTCGTAGGTCAACTTCTTGGCCTGGGATCAACATGCTCTGGTGCTCGGATGAGGTCATGATCTTCATGAGACTTGTTCCAATGGATGTTAACTACAACACATCCAAATTTGAGCTCCATTGGACAAGTATTTCCTATCCAACTAATCCAGCATGTTACCACAGCTCTGGAAATCCGATTTTGGCCAGCTTTTACCTCCTTTGTGTCATCTTAATTTCTTGTTACCATAACTCTTGGTAACAAGGAATACCTTTGTAAATGAGATATTTTCTGAAGCTTTTGGCATCTTTGTGAAGTCAAAGCTTCATCATGGCAAGGGGACAATGGGCAAAGGCTTTAGAGGAAAGAATGAGTTTTATATTAAAAGTGTGAGCTGGAAATGATGGGCAAAGGAGCAAAGGGAAGTGCAATCTGAAGTGGGAGAGGTTTTGAACGTGGGAAAGAGAGAGGTTTTGAACGTGGAAGAGGATATTCATTCTATCATTCTACACATTGAGAGCAGATTTTGGAGAGCTGGGAGCTAGGAGAAAGCCAAGGTGCAGCCAAGCAAAGTGGAGAAGAAAGCTTCCACCATTGATGACCTTGAAGCTTTCATCATTTTCTCAAAATCTGTAAACTCTTTCTAATTTTATTTTGAATTTGTATTTGGAATAAGTATGAGCAACTAAACTCCATAGCTAGGGCTTAGGTTGAAACCCTAAACATGATTACCTTATTGTTTTGATACTTGAGTGTATGAATTTCTAGATATTGTTGATGAATTCCAATTCACCAAATTAATCTATCCTTGATGTGTGTTTTCCTTGATTGATTACCTTTGAAAGCATGCTTCTTGAGGTTGTTGGGATTATGTGTATCATCATGTTTTCCTAAGCAATAGATGGATGGAGTAAGAACCATCCATGTGAATTGGTTTCTTGAATACCTAATGAAAACACCATGCTATTAGGATTCTTGTGATGTTCATATTCTCTTTGAACTTAATGGGTTCTCCTTGTAATTGAATCAAAGTACGAACCATACCTAGGTTCGGTTATGGGGAGGGCACAAATATTGTAGCACGAACCATGCACTTTACGTATAATAGAGAGAATCAATGCGTCTTGAGCCACGACCCATGGTCTCGATTGCGAACATCTTCATCAACAAGTTTAGAGTTCATCACTTGAGTATCCATGAACATGGATGGAATTGTTTAGGGTGGATTCTGAAACCCTAGTTTTTGTTACATTTTAATTTCACATTTTGATAATTCATCTATGCCATTCACATTTAAATTCAAAGTCCATTTACTTTCATGCAATAGAAACAGGTCACTTGAACCAAATCAAAAAACCCCCCCCAATGTGTGTGTGAGTTGAAAGTGTTCTTCCATTTTCTGTGCTGAATCCAACCGTATAAAGAACATGAATTTTGGACGTACGGTTGGAAAGTTATAGGTCAAAAACTGGACAGAGGTCGAAACTGAAAAACAGAGAAAACGACTCTGCCCAAAAACGACCGGTCGCTTTTGCCTTGCGACTGGTCGCGAGCCACGCAAAAATCAAGTTTCAAATCTGTGCAAAAACGACCGGTCGCACTGTTCATACGACCGGTCGCCAGCCCCTGTTC